TCGATCCCACAGCCTCCTATTCGAAGCCAGCAGAACACCAGAGGGCAGGGGAGCCCTTGGGATAGTCTATGCAGGACCAGGGTAGAAAGGGAATCTGAGGGACAAATGGAAGATACCCAGTATAATTAAGTCCCCGACCTTATCCTACAAAAAGTGCTGCATACCTCATTACTGAGTGTCACTATGGTCACCTATGAAGTACTCCCCTTAGCCATCTGGTGACTGGAGTGATAGTCAGCAATGAGGCGTGTGGCACTTTTTGTAGGAGTTTGCAAACTTAGTTGTCAGACCGCGTAAATGGTCACAGCAGGAAACAAAAACAGTGGTTTACAAGGGACTAGGTATTTTTAAAAAGAGAAATATGGAATATATAACTACTAAAGAAATTGTGGAACAATTTACTCTGAGGGATAAGAAGTGTTGTTCAACAGTGCAGCAACAGGTGAAGCCTGCCAATGGCATTTCAGGTCATTCGCATCCCTGGATCCCAAGGCACTGAACACTAGGAGGAACCCCAGGCATTACAATAACCAAAACAACTCAGAAACCTTACGCTACTTCTAGAACCACTGCCAGCACTAGAATTTGTTTTTAGTTTCTTTTTTCTTACCTGAATTTTAAATTTTTTCCTATAAAGACTAAGTGTTACTCTTTTTATTGTTGTTGCAGTTTTGGCCGGAGCCCGGTTCGAACCCTCTACCCTTAGTATGTGGGGCTGGTGCACTACTCACTGAGCCACAGGCACCGCCCTAGGTATTACTCTTATATAACGGAAACTGGGCTTTTCTTTTTTTTTTTTTAAGGTAGTCCACAGGTTAGCAGAATAATTTAGATGGTAGCGCTCAGGAAACCCTATTTGTCCTTCCTCAACTAAGTCTGCTCATGACAGTAAGTAAATAAAAGGTGACCTGACATTATTACGTGGATACTATAATTCATCTTGAAGTCACCAATAACAGGAAGGGCACAATTAACTCAGCTTATTACAAATCGCTTTTATTCTTCCAGTACTTGTAATAGTTATGAGATCACAGCCTCCTAAAATTCACAGGTCAACTACTAGATTGCTTCTAGCTGGTTATAAAACTTTAAAAGGAAAGAAATTACCATGATTTGGTTTCAACACGATGCTGCATTGACACAGCTTGAGTGTTGTAACAGGCAGAGCTACTACTACCACCCACCCGTGGGAAAGCCTGGGTTAGCAATTTTGATGAGTGATTTGAAGAAATATTGTGTTCTGTTTGCTGTCTTATTTCATTTCTCCAGGTTGAGGCCAGAAGTCAGGTTCTCAGTAATTCTTTGTCTTGGTATTTCGTCTCTACAAGGCAAAAAGTAGCCCTTTTCTACAGGCAGTAAAATTCCAGTAGTCTCAAGAACGGGACAGTAACGGTTTACAATACACACACTCCTCTATTCCTAAAGAATCAATGGTTCCAAATTTCATGACATCAAGAAACCATTCACAATAAGCTGCATCCTGACTCAGATATGAAAACATGAGCAAAAAAGCATCTTAGAATCAATAAAACACAGCGTATCATTTAAAGTGATCCTTAGCATTTTAAATTTTACAAGTTACTCTAATTTAAAAAATATTTTTAGTCTAATAGGCTCATACCATGGATGAAAGTTTAAACCTGTAGAACTTTGGGGGATGATAACGTCAAAATATATAACAAAACTCTTAAATTTGTATACCCTCTGGGCCAACACTTCTACTTTAAGAAATTTCTCCTCAAGAAAAGTACTGGAAAAATATGCCAAGATAGACACAGAAGGAAAATTGCTATAGCATTGGTTATACTAACATCTAGAAAAACATTTGTCTTCAAATAGAAGACTGAGGAAACTAAGTATTGTACTGCCTTATGGCAGAAAACACTAATAATGTAAGAGATCCAGGACCCTGGAAAATGTTCTTTGCATAGTAAGTGCAAACAGCTCACGAATCAGTAAGGAAATTTGCGTGCGCGCGCACACACACACACACACACACACAAATGCAAAGGAACACTTTTGAAATTCTAAAGAAAAACAGTTTCCAATCTAGCATTTTTTTTACCTAGTCAAATTGTGAATTATAAGTAACAGTAGAATCAAGACTTTTTTGTCTTGTGGTTTTTGGTAAGGGCTGGGTTTGAACCCACCATCTCTGGCATATGAGGCTGGCACTCTATTCCTTTGAGCCACAGGCGCTGCCCTGAATCAAGACATCTTGAAAGATGCAAGTCTTAATTTCTACACACTAGTGGCCGAGTGTTCCCCCACTGCCAGTAGGAATAAGGCAAGAAAGAGAAAGACACTCCAAGTGGGAAGCCAAGAGAAACAGGGAGAGAATCTTCAGGGTAGTGGTGCAGAAAAGCCCAGACATGCTTACATGTTTTTCCATCTTTTTCAAAAAACTTAATGAAATCTAAAAGGACACACACCAGCTGTGTGCAGGCCACCAGGCCAGGGCCAGGGGGGAGGGGGTGGACAGGTGAGAGGCTCCCAGAGAGGAAGGCCCTGAGGATGACTGATAGAATACCCCATGTCTCTCTGCTTCCTGGGAGATTTAGATAAATAGGATTAAATTAGTCACCAAGTATCTGGAGAACTAAGAAATGGAAAAAGATGCTCCTTGATTTATGATGGGGTTACTTCTCAATAAATCCATCATAAGTTGAAAATATCATCAGCTGAAAATGTATTTAATATACCCAACCTACCGAACATCAGAGCTTAGCCTAGCTTGCCTTAAACATGCTCAAAACACTTATATTAGCCTATGTTTGGGCAAAAGCATTTGGCAATACCGTCCATAGCAAAGCATCAGTTGTTCACCCTGGTGATGGTGTGGCTGCCTGGGAGCTGTGGTACGCTGCCACTACCCAGCATCATGAGAGAGTATGTATCCTTGCACCACATGTCACCAGCCCGGAAAAGAAAAAAAATCCAAAGCACACTTTCTACTGAATGCATGTTACTTTCCAACCATCTGTAAAGTTGAAAAATACTAAGTCAAAGCATGGTAAATCAGGGCCTTCTGCATGGAGACAGGAAGGGTATATATGTATAATGGGGGAGGCGTGGAGAAAGAGGTGTCTCAGGAGCACCAAAGCCTCACATTAAGCAGGAAAGTAACGGGTAATGCTACAGCTGGGGAACCCCCGCCCCCAAAGAACATCATAAACATGTTTAGAGTTCTAAGAGATAAAGATGGTGGGGAAAACTTATATTTCTGCCTGTAGGACAGAATCTTTAAAATGCAAGCATAATTAGACCCATTAAAAATACTCAACTAAAGTAGTAATAAGGGTAATTCTGCTTACATGTTTTTCTACCTTTAAAAAAAACTTAATGAAATCTAAAGGGATACACATCAATATGTCAACAGCAGTTATTTCTAGTGATAGGATTGTGGACCATTTACATTTCTTCCTTCATTTTTTATATTTTTCTGGGATAAGTCAGAAAACAACAGCATCATTTTACTTCACACCAGGTCTAAACCCACCCCATGGCAGAAGCACCATCTCTGTCCTTTTAGCTTCTGTTTGCCCTGCTGAAGCAGGGGAACCTGCCAATTCCCTCATTCACACAGCAAATATTTGTTGAATGCCTAATGACCAAGCCCTGCAAGGTGATTCCAATACCTTCAGCTCTGTATTAGGTCTCCTGAAGTCCTCAGTAACAGCTAAGGGAACCAGATGAAGAGTGGGCCAAGCCACCACTTCTCAAACTATGTGCACCAGAGCCAGCAGGAGATTGATTCAGTAGTTCTGGGGAGGACTTGAGACTCTGGGGAAGCAAGCTAGCTACTTGATGTGCACAGAGTTTGCAGAAGGTTTCTCAAAGGAGCTGCCCAAACCTTCAGCCACTTGTAACCCACGATGGCCTTTTGTTCTCTAGCTCCCCAAAGATTTCAATTACTTAAATGTTTAAACAAAGTCTGTGAGATACAGTAGAAGGGGCACTGCTTTTGTTCTCTAGCTCCCCAAAGATTTCAATTACTCAAATGTTTAAACAAAGTCTGTGAGATACAGTAGAAGGGGCACTGCTTAGGCAGCTGGCCACCTTAGGACCGCCCAGGAGAGGCCCAAGGTGTCTGGCCACCTTAGGACTGCCCAGGAGAGGCCCAAAGTTAAAAGCAGGGCCCTGGAGAAAGGCAGACCTGGGTTTGAATCCTACCTCCACCATCACAGGTGTGACTTACTTCCCCTCTCTAGGCCTCTATCATGGGGCTAATAATTGAAGTTATTTTCACAGGGTAGTATTGTTGTGTGAGCTACATAGGGTATGAAGGCATATAAAGGTCTAAAGAGCTTGGCAAAACCCTGACATCTGATGACTCCATAGACAGTGCCCGCCATTGGCTGTTAACAGAAACCTAATCCTTCCTCAGACTTGAGGGCCAGCAGGAGCTTCTGGAGAGATGTCAGTTCTCAGCCTTCTTGTCCTCCACAGGAGAGGAGAACGCACAGGCCCTGCCCCCTTGCCAGGAATGTTCTGAGCCTAAACCAGGATGTGTGCATAACACCAGGCAGGAAACCCCTTTGGTCCTCATATAGCTTGAGGCCCTCAGATTTTATTCAGTGAATTTTTCCTGATTCATGCAAATCACCCTCTCATCTCCAACATGATCTTAGGAAAGCTTTGCTTTCAGAAAGGAGGTCATCCACGTGCACATCAGGTGAGGGAAGCACCAGATGTCCCTGACACCAACTCCCTGCCAAGCACCCCGCTCCCAGGACACGCGATCCAGAGGGTCCAGCAGGCTGAGTTTCTCCCTCTGCAGACGTCCTGAAAATCTCAACTTCCCCAGGACACCAAGTTGATTAGACCCCCTTTGGAGCGAAGGTGTCTTGAGTTTTGCACTTTGTAAAGACCAGGTTGAACAAAAAGGGTTCCCGCGGGAGCATCTGAGCAGGCTCCATCCCGAGGAGCACTGGAGTGCACGCGCGGGGGTCCCTCTGCGCCCCCCACCCCCCGCCTGCCCCGGCCCGTAGGGCACTCACGATCTCGGCCACGATGAGGAGCCCGGGCAGAGTGCGGAGGAACTCCCGGTCGTAGGCGAAGCTGCTGCTGGTGGTGGAGAAGTTCTCCGCGAAGGAACTGGTGGTGGTGGTGACTGTGTGCGAGCGGGCGCGCTGCGACTCCTCCATCGTAGCGCCCCGGCCCGGCTGGCCAGTCCCCGGGGACCCCCAGCGCGTCGCGTCCGAGGCTCGACGCGCGGCCCTGCGTCCTGGGTACACAGGCCAGGTGGGGGGAGCGGGCCCGGGGCCGTCCAGGAGCGGCGCGTGTCCCTCGAGCGCGCGGCGCCCCTGGCTGCTCGGTGCGCCGGCTCCCGGGCTGAGCCCGCGAGAAAAGGGGTGAGCGAGCGAGGGGACGCGGCCGGGCGGCCGTGGCAGGCGGCGGAGGCTGGGAGGCGAGGAGGGGGCGTGG